ACAGTGTGATCCTAGAGAATACAATAGGTTTGGTTTTCATCTTTTATCATGAAATGTTTATATTAAAACACGATCTTGAACTATCTGTGCCAGTGTGGTACTAATAACAACAAAACGTTCGTTGGTAGGGATGAAACTATCTGAAAATATAAGGAGAATTTCGGCGTTTCGAGCGAAGGCCCTACGTTTTGTTAAAATAGGATGCCTATTCAGGTCCAAAGCTTGGTTTGTGTACGGGTTTTACTTCTTTTGTTGATTTGGTTGGTGATTTTCGTGAGAATTGACGGATTGATTAATCGATTGATTTACTACATTCCGAGATGTAATGTAATAGCTTGTTGATTGCTCGTTAAGGATGCTACCACATTGATTTTAACAGAGAACATTGTTTGTCTTGGAACTACAGTAATATCTTCGCTCTAGGGGATGTTCTCCAGTTTCAGTGCATACTAAATAATTCATATATCCTTTATCAACTGGTGGTTTCAAGTTAAAGAGCAGTTGTAATTTGTATTATGCGTTTCATCTTCAGAACCTATAGCTCTAACAAACATCAATCCTAATGTTATTCTCAAGCTTATCCCTGATCTTAAGTTAACTCTAACCAAGACAACTTACTTCCATCATCACAAACAGCGACAGTTCCATTCCAGGTTTTATCATCTTGACATGTTCTCTTCCTTGACCCAGACAACGTAAACCCAGAGTTACAGAAAAACTCAACTGTCGAGCCGATGAAAAATTTATTTCCAAATATTCGACCATTTCGAGGAATGTCTGGCTTTGGGCAGCGTTTTCCTAAACACAAACAGAATATAGCTATTGATCTATTTCATTCTTTTGCAGTAAAAGAATATTGGCTGGTTTCATGTCTGTGTATGATTTTTCTTTGTGTTTTCCTCATGAATTATTAATGAGTTCCTTCAAACATTTCTTACAAATCCTGGAAGAATTTCCCAAAATTCCTACTGTGATCACAGAAATTCTGACAGTGTAAATCAGCGTTGAGAGTGAAGATCCTTAATGTTGATTCTTTGCACTCTGCTGCACGACAGTGCTTAGCGGTGAAAACTTATGCGCCAATATGACTAAGAAGAAATAGAGAGATTAATATAATGCATCTTACTTATACAAAATGGAAAACGTTTTGACGACCATTGTCCTTGCAAACACACGATATCCTCTTCGCCAAAAGTTCGTAATTTTTCATTACATTCAAAGAGATCATTAGTAAACTCTTCGAATAATTTGTCGCTGAATGTTACGTTTCCATTCCAGAGTATCCTTGGCTACACCTGGATCACGACACTTGTTCTCTAGAAACAAACAATTGTGATATCAGTTTAGTGCGTCAATAAAGGAATGATCATTACCAAAACTTCCGGGAAGAACAATGCAAAATTTGGTAGAGCTATCCAGATTGCAAAAAAAGTTCAAGAAAGTTATTTATCTTGTCGATCGCGTTAGCAACTGAACTAAACTTACTTTTAGAGGACCAGTAAGGATCATCTCTTATTGACCCAGTGTTATTACAGGAGGAAACCTAAACTAAACTAAACTAACTTTATTTATACTGGATAGCTCTATCAGTTCTAAACTTTTCTCCCTAGAGGTCCAGTAAGGATCATCTCTTATTGACCCAGTGTTATTACAGGAGGAAACCTAAACTAAACTAACTTTATTTATACTGGATAGCTCTATCAGTTCTAAACTGTTCTTCCTAGAGGTCCAGTAAGGATCATCTCTTATTGATCCAGTGTTATTACAGGAGGAAACCTAAACTAAACTAACATTATTTATACTGGATAGCTCTATCAGTTCTAAACTGTTCTCCCTAGAGGTCCAGTAAGTCCAGTTCCTTGCTGATTCAATAGTGTTGCTACAAGAGACTTGACAAAAACGTGTAGTGTTTGGTAGAACCAAGCTAGCATTCGACTAAGGTGATAAGTGTGAAGTAATATTTCAATTGATCCGACTATGAGGACTCATGGACTAGATTTCAAGTCCGCGCAATTTGATGCGAGGTTTGAAATTTAGTCCAGTCCGAATTGGAGGATTTGAAATGACATCTCATACGAATAAAACACTACTTAAAGTGAGGTGAATTAATTTTGATCCAGTCCTAGGACTGAATCAATATACTTCACCAGGTATTCAGTATCATCATGTCAACAAATGAATGCAATATGGTTATTTACTCATGAATTATTAATGAGTTTGAGATGGACATGTGCACTGTACCACCCCCAAAGCTTAAACCAGCCAGCTTTTTGAAATGTCAAAGTTTATCCGGTATACATTTCCCCGGTGCCCGTGTTTTCTAGCATGCCCAGCTTTTTCAATCAGTTCCACATACTTTGACAAGAGATGCGTGCTTTGCCACCGCTCCAACGCAAGTTTGGTCTACATTTTCTTTCTTTTCTTTTTCCCGTCCGACTAAATCCAACATCACAAGCATAAACCGCAACACTACCCACTGAGTCGGAAGGAAATGTCACTGTGCCGTTCTTTAAACCTGGAGGTTCGCCACATCCTGAAAAAAACGATCAACATTACTTTAATCATTACAGGAATCGAAGAAGGAGATATCAGTCACAGATGTTAATATGACAACATACCTTTGCATTTAGGGATTTGATCACTCGATAAGTTCTTGAACTTATTACATGATAAATCTTTCGTAGTTTTTCCTTTGCTGAAGAAGTATCCCTTGTCGCACGTCAGTGTGGCATGATTTACCTTGCGTTGTTTCGATGCAATTTTCGTATGCGCAGGTAGTTTAACTTTCCTCAGTAATCTACCACATGGCCGCTTGCCGTTTACCTCTGGGAAGAGAAATCAAAGTTTAGTTTTAGCGTTCCGACTTTCTCACATAAAATTATTCCATTCGAACTTGAATCTTCTGATTTCTAGCCCACCTCTCTGTTTGTTGAGCTGTAGAACCAACGGGGATTCGAAGTAAATCTATCCATGCAGTTTTATTGCACGAAATATTTTCTTGTCTTGAACGACGTGCATTGTCTCAGAACCCCGCACGTTTTCTTGTGGTACTCTTGTTTCCTCTTGTAGTAACACCGAAACAATTCCTGACCCTCACTGCACCTGAGTTCAGAACTGGCAGAGCTGTCCAGTTTAAATAAAGGACAAAGGTTTAGGTAGTTTAGTTTCGGTGTTCTCCTGTAGTAACAGTCAATTAATAAGACACGGCTTTTGCTTGGAAATGTAGGGAGAAGAGTTTAGAACTGTAGAGGTATCAATTATAAATAAAGTTAGTTTTACATCTATGACTTACCAGAAAAAAGGAACATAAACAGACTGACGAACAAGAACCAAATGAGCCATTCTACTTTGGTGGTTCTCATATTTCTAAGAAATATAAAGGTATTATAAATCGTAGAACACAGGCATAAATGTATTTTCTAAAAGTGCATTTATCTAAATGTGCAAAAAACGACGTTTATGCTGAGTCGCAAGAATTGAGAACCGTACTGTGATCGATGACGCATTTCGCGTGGACGCATGAAACAGGATGAACACGAGGACATGAATTGAATTTCCGAAATTTACGAAACGAATTCGTCGTGTGCGACCTTATATAAACATAATCTGAGGGAGAAGATGTTATATTTTGAACTGGCCGCAGTTTAGAATTTTATTGACCAACAAAATGGACAAAGATTGACTGCATGACCTCAGACACATTGAGTCTGTTATTGACGTGTTTGAAGGTGCTTGGACACTTGACAGTTTACGTCTTACTAGGCGAAAGCCAACTATAAACAATCAATTTTATTCCCGTATAATTCCTCGATAAACTTAACGCATAAAAATAAAATTAACCAAATGTGCTCAACCTTGTTTACGACATGACCTGTAACAGGCTGTTCACAGCGATGTACAATATAATATATCACGGGTTGTTTATTCAATTTTACCTGAAGTGCTTCGCCAATATACTACCTAGTACATAACGTACACCCACGCTAACCATCATGCGCTCGACTTACCAAACTTTCAAACTCTCCTCCAATAAAAGCTCTTCTTATTGAATGCTCCGTACTCAAATGCTTTCCAAATCTCAGTGCATCTTTCGTAAATATCTGAGATCTACTTCCCGTAATTTAACCCCAGTCTCTCCATTCTTCATCTTTCAACACTTCGTTGATATATTGTTAGGCTGCTTGTTTCATATTATAGTATGTGATGTTACATAATTTCGAGCTTTAAACCTTAATACACTGGGAGAAGCTGCGCATGATACTATGAATATTAAAGCAATGTTCTGGAGGTTTTTATTTTGCAGCGCATTTTATGCAAACGAGGTTCAGGATGCGCGCATATTAATTAGTACGCACAGCACGGAAAGGAAAACGAACTCTCTGAAGCGAGGTCAAAACGTCAATCCAATTGGTGTCAGGTTTTTTTCCACCTTATTCTGATTGTTGTTTTTGGCAATTCTCCCCTTTTGATATGTCTAAGATTGGGCGACGATTTATTTCTATTTCAGTTTTCAAATTCAGTCTATTCAAACATGACAATATATCCACGCGAGAAAAATTGGATAACTCATCTTGAGGTTATGCGTGCTAGCGCAAATTAGCATAAACAAAATAAAACGCTTTATATGAAGTTAATAAATCAAAACAATGAGTAATGTCATGGAATTTTCTAAACAATGAAAAAGACAATGGAACTTTTCGATCATTGGAACGTGACTGGATGGCATTATTATATTATAAAGGCCAATGCAACAGATCATTCCAAAGAATAGAATTTTCAGATGAATTTGAGGGGTTTTTCAACTTGGCTTTAAAAATCTCTCAAGCAGACATCTCGCGAGATCCTGCTGGCTTCAGCGCTTTTGAGCAGAGCGGACGTAAATAAACCACGTCATGCTGTGAGCATGATGCGTCATATAAACTGGAGCAATCCTGAAAATATATAACACATACTGTAGTTTATTTGCGCAAAGAGAACGTTTTGAAAGTTTGTTTACAAAGATGGAATACGCAAGACGTCTTGTGCTTATGCTTGTGATAGTGAATGCGTTGTGGTGTGTTGGTAACGCGTTGAGCCCCCGTGGCAATGGTAAGTATAGTGTAAAAGTATAATAAATGTTGTATTTCTAATACTGAGACGTAAAACTAAACATAGTGCAATGTTTATTACTTGTACGTTTAGCGCAGGTCGTTGTTATATTGATGGATTTCATTTTAGTGCTTTATTCATTAACTAATAAAAACAAATGTGACCTCGAATGTAACTAGGCATATCAAAAGTTATGAACTGGACTTTAAACAAATATTTATTTATATCCTGACTTTAGCACAAGCAAACCTATGTGCATTAGTATACTCAGTTCTAAATTCAACGTATTGGCAATGATCTACTCAATGATCTACTCATTATTTGTTCCAATTATTTCGCAGCTAGTGGTGTGGTGTTCTGCGCTGATCCTGGAACGCCAGCAAACGCTCGAAGAGAAGATCGCCTGATATTATTTCATCCTGGCATGATAGTAAAGTACTATTGTGATTTCACGTACAGACTTGTTGGTATTCGAAACAGAACGTGTCTTGCTAATGGTTCTTGGTCTGGTGTGCAACCTTCGTGTGAAAGTTAGTATGGATGTAATGTATACTAATGACTGTTGCAACCAAATCACATTCTCTGAAAATTCACCTGCCTATAGGTACCAGTGTTGGGATAATAGACCGCGCGGGTAAAGCGACCTTCATGCAGAAATGGCCTTCATGTCCATTGCAACCCAGTTCACTCAACACTGCTTTGTTAAACGGTAGCAAACGTTTCCTGGTTTGTTCACCTTCAAGCAGCATGGCTAGGAAACAATGTTTCCTAGTTTACCCCACCTTTCAAGCAGCATGGCTAGGAAACAATGTTTCCTGGTTTATTCACCTTCAAGCAGCATGGCTAGGAAACAATGTTTCCTGGTTTGTTCACCTTCAAGCAGCATGGCTAGGAAACAATGTTTCCTGGTTTGTTCACCGTCGAGCAGCATGGCTATATAAGGAAACAATGTTTCCTAGTTTACCCCACCTTTCAAGCAGCATGGCTAGGAAACAATGTTTCCTGGTGTATTCACCTTTAGCAACATGGCTTGGAAACAATGTTTCCTGGTTTATTCACCTTTAGCAGCATGGCTTGGAAACAATGTTTCCTGGTTTATTCACCTTTAGCAGGCAACATGGCTTGGAAACAATGTTTCTTGGTTTGTTCTCCTTTAAATAGCATGGCTAGGAAACAATGTGTCCTAGTTTGCCCCACCTTTCAAGCAGCATGGCTTGGAAACAATGTTTCCTAGTTTGTTCACCTTCAAGCAGCATGGCTAGGAAACAATGTTTCCTGGTTTGTTCACTTTCAGGAGACATCAAGCTAGAGAGAATAGTGTTTCCCTTATTAAAAATAATCTTCTCTTTTTCCTCAGAATACATGTGTGATGAGCTGGATGCATTTCCGCCACAGAATGGCAAGAGATTTGGGAAACATTTCACAATTGGAAGTCAATTGAAATTCAGGTGTTCCTCACTCTACAAGTTGATTGGTGCAAACATGGTCACGTGTCTTCCTGATGGCCAATGGTCGGCAAGATCCCCGAAGTGTGAACGTGAGTAAATGAAAGTTGAAGTTACTTCTAAACTGTTCAGCATTCCAGTGTTACTGCAGAAGGAAACCTAAACTAAACTTGATTTTTTTATACTGGATAGCTCTATCAGTTCTAAACTGTTCTCCCTAGGCCTAGAGGTCCAGTAAGAATCATTTCGATCAAGGCCAGAAGAACGACCTCCAACACCACAGCTAGAACGAGCGTCTTAGAAAGAGTAAAACTGCAAAGATTGGTTACTAAATGTTGTAAAATGAGGAAAATACAGTCCTGTGAAGTTCGCAAATTTTGTATATATTTGTATTACGCGCGGTCAAAATAACAACTTTCAACTCAAAAATGATGCAAAATATATACAAAATTTGCGAACTTCACAAGGCTAAATTTTCCTCGTTTTACAACAATTCGCAACCAGACTTTGCAATTTTACTCATTTTAAGATGCTCTTTCTGACTATCTCATTTTCCTTCTAGATCGTTGTAAACAAGTGCCTTGTGGTGTTGGCACGATGTGTAAAATGCGAAATCTTTTACCAACGTGTGTGTGTCGCAGCAACATGGAATGTTCATCTAAATGGGATCCTGTGTGTGGTAGTGATGGAATGTCTTACAACAATGAGTGCATCATGAAAGCAACTGCTTGCAGAACTCGCAAAAATACTCGACTCGTTACGCACGATAGATGTTTACCAGGTCAGTGTAGACGCTAGATTTTATTTGAAACACGGACAGGTTTATTGAATAAAAAGGCGCTAACCAAGTGTTTTTTAACAGGGATGGTTCCAGCATGATCTGGTGAGGTGCTATGCCAGCCCTGGTGCCTAGTACGTTGTGTCGTACGCAACTACGCATTATATATACAGCGGTATACCACTGCAGCAATTTCCTAGTCTTGCTTGACTACTGTATTTGAATTGTAATTGTTGTTCATAGTTTGCTTAATATCATCATGTTTTACTCAAATTACTGTACTCATTTTGTTTCTAATATTTTTTGCTTTATCACGAAAAATAGTACACACCCCTGCACCCCCTCTAGCCAAGGGCTGGGGGGGGGGAGAAACAGCCCCCAGTAAATCCATCCCTGTTTTTTAACAGACGTTTGCCTTATCTTTCATTTTTTTCTCTTGGCAGGAGACAGGTGTAGTATTCTCCCTATCAGCAAATGTCGTGCAGCATTCGATGTCTATTTCTACAATGTTACTGCTGGGAAATGTCAACATATGATTGCTGGCGGTTGTCATCCTAGTGGATGGAATGGATTCTTTCTTGAGAAGGACTGTCAAAGTTACTGCGCGGGAGGTATGGAATATGGAAATAATTATGGTTCTAGTTCCATTTGACCAAACACCAGGGGTTTTCTTCACTGGATCAATAAGAGATGATCCTTACCAACGTAAGGATCATCTTTTATTGATCCAGTGAAGAAAACCCGTGGTGTTTGGTGGATCCTTACTAGATCTCTAGGAAGAACAGTTTAGAACTAATAAAGCTATCTAGTTGTAATAAAAGTTGCGTTAATTGTATGTAGGAAATATAATTTAGATTGTAAAAAATGAGGATGTTTAGTTTAAATAAAGCTAGTTTAGTTTAGGTTTCCTCCTGTAGTAACACTGGATCAATAAGAGATGATCCTTACTGGACCTCTAGGAAGAACAGTTTAGAACTGATAGATCTATATCCAGTATAAATAAAGTTTATTCTTCACAATAATCCATATAGATACATGTATACTCAAGCGAGACGCAGGACCGTGTGATGGGAAGGTGACAAGATGGTATTATGATGCTAAGACGCAATCGTGTAAAACATTTAAGTACGGAGGATGTTTTGGAAATTCAAATAACTTCCGTTCGATGGACGATTGTAAGAAGAGATGTGTTTAAAAGGTACGAATATTCGTATTAACAATTACAATTTAAATACAGCGATTACTTACCCCTAAACCTAACCAAATTTTAACACCTATCCTAAACTAAATGAATATTCGAAAACTAAAACAGTTATTAAATTAATTCTATTATAATATTTTCAATTACTTTTTTTACAGGAAGAAACGGGAAGGTATTGGTTAGTAGTTATATAGTACTTTGTATAGATTAGAAACTTGTAAGGTCGGGATTATACCATCATAAAGTTTGAGATATTGTTATATTTCTGGCATGATGTAGTATATTTGTGTATTTAGTATAATTGAACTTGTTTCTATCTATGTTCATTTAATATTCTACTTATTACATGTCAATCACAAAATCCGTATAAGTACCGGCTCTTATTTTGAGGGTCAGTACTGCAACAATATTCCTTGGTCAGTTCAAAATAATTTTCCTCATCTAAAGGAATCTCTCCGTTATTTGTCAAAATTTTAAAACAATGCTCTTGCATCTTTTCGTCGATACCAGGTAAGAATTCCAGGCCGTCGTTGCCAAGACAACCATCCTTGTTGACGTCACAGCACGCAAAGAGCCCGCTCACGACGTCTTTCAGCCACGCAGGCAACTCCCCCGTTGCCAAGATTTTCTGACGCAAATCGTAAGAGAAATCGATCCATTCTTGCGCAGAAATTCGACAGTCGCTGTCGTTATCCGCATGTTCCAACACTGCATTGAAGAAATTTCGAACTGCCCTGGTTTGCAAGGAACGGAAAGCGCTGACGTAAAATTCCTGGTCTGCCAAGCGTTGTTTCAGATGAGCAGTGGCGTCTGAGATTCTCTTTTCAAAATCACTCCATTCGATATAACCGTTTCTATCGTAGTCATAGAAGTTGAATAAATGGCTGAATTTTCGATTCAAAAATTCTCTCTCGCTTTCATCCATGTCTCGCTGTTCAAACTTTTACTCTTTGATTTTGCAATATTTTACTGTCCTCTCGATCCGTATTAATCTGGTTGAATATCTACCAAACTGTTTTCAAATTCAAGGACGATTAAAAAGTACTGATTTCAGCTTTTTTTAGAAGTAATGTTCAACACATTTTACATAAATTGAGTTTCCCCGCTTTCCAAAGTATTAATTGTAATAATAATAAAATCTTTATTTAAACTGGTATTAAAAAGAAACTGGTCAGTCAATCATAGATTGGCTGGTATAGATCGGTGACTATGTAGTATTTACAAGTGTATATACGACAGTGTTAGGACAACTTAGTAAGTTCTGCTTTACTTTTACAATATGTATATAATTTATACTTCGACTTCGTTCAGGTTGATCAAGGGCTCTGAAAATTTGATCCAGGTACCAACTCTTTAATTCTTTAACAATGCTTTTTCCAAAGTCTACCAGTTTTCTTGCTATTTCCTTCAAAATGATTTTTGTGGCAGTTTTGTGGTCGGCGCTTCACACGACTTCTGTTTTTCAAAAGCACACTGAGCCTTTAAATACAATCCCGTTCTAATTTGTTGCGTGCGAAAAGGTTAACATAATACCATATGCTGATTTAAACTTAAATAAAATTCAATTAAGACTCAAAAACATTATAAGTGAAATTTAATTTGAAAAAGTTTTTGATTAAACAGTTTTTAATAAAGACCCGCACCTTCGTCATATACTAAACAACGTTTTATTGGTTTTATAACAAGATTTAGATAGTTCACCTGTTTAAGATTAAAGATCTAGAAAGCCGGTCCTTAATTTTGTTCATTTTAGTTTCTATTGAAATAGATTTGCATCTCTTGAGAGCTTTATTAAAAAAGTAGAGACGCTAGTAAGTATCAAACGTCGCTACATTATCTGTTGTTGACTTGAAACAGGTACAGCAGTGGATTGGATTACTGTGCTTGTCTTTGTAAAGGTATTTATGGAACACTCGCAGCAACGGATACGCTATAGCAGTGCCGGCAGACAAGGTTTCTGATGGTTGCTAGTTTAAATCTCGTGTGTATGAAAAATCTTATTTACACTGGCAGTATCATATAAAAACTAAATAAAATAACCAATCCACTTAGTTTTAAAATGATTAGTCAATATTAATCTGTCTTTGAAAATTATTTTCCCTGTAAATAATCTTTTCCATAACATTTTGCAGACATACTAAATTAATTAAACATTTTCCAAACATATTATACTATGAAACATTTTCCAAACATATTAACATATTAAAGTCTTCCCTTGTGTGAGCACAAACTTTTCACCTGTTTTCTGCAATATTTGATCTATCTGACATTGTCGACGTCATTGCAAAACCTTTTTGGCATTACATTCATAGAGATTATAAATAACACTAGAGGAGGCATTGTAATCTTAATTCAGTAAAAAAAAGGGAACGCGACTATTGGGGGGCAAATTCAAGTCCCGGATGTGTATTCGTGTTCCTATTGGTGACGAGTTTCAAATCAGCCAATGAGAGCACGATTTTATATCCGGGACTTGAATTTGCCCCCCATTAGCTGCGTTCCCAATTTTTAAACTCGATGCCTCCTCTAGTGTTATTTATAATCTCTATGATTACATTAGCATAAATTCCTGGTTACCACCCTAATATTCTCAGGAGGGAGTGTTTGCAGGTATTGAATACTAATGAGGTCAATATGGCGAGCGCAATTCCGGTGGTAGATTTCTCTTCGCACAATATATTAAATAGCGAAAATTTTGATGAAACAAATCCTGAAATAAACAAACTTGCGCAAGAAATTTATGACGCTTTTACTACAGTTGGATTTGTGCACATCAAAAACCATGGAATTCCCGAATCTGAGGTAATGTATAAAATACTTTATAATATCTGCCCCCCCGTGTGGAGGATACATGTTTTCCTTGAAGAATTCCAAGCTCAAAACCTTTTAGGCCACTACAAGTTAATCTTTAGTTTCTGGTCCGGCCTTACCTTCGTTTATGACGCGGGCGGGCGGGTGGTTAGGACTATAGGACATAATTACAATTGTGGCTTTACCCACTTTTTTTGTCTTTCTTGTTCCTTTTCATGCTAATTGCATCAAAATGTTATGAAATTTTACATAAGATTACAAAGGATTTTACATATCAAAATGATCTATTAATATTTCCAGTTTTTTTTACCTCGTAATATCGATAAGGCAGCGGTTTTTACCATTCAATACTACATTTTGCTAGGTCTTTTTAGTGTAAATTGAATATTTATCTATATAAAGCTAAATCCTTCGCGAAAATTTTCAAGAACTAGAAATTAATTGTAAATAACAAAACAGTCCTGAAATAATACTTTACGGAGAAAGCACGCGGGCGGCGGACCAGAAACTAAAGATTAACTTGTAGTGGCCTTATCATTGAAGAATATTTCCAGGAGTCCTTGATAGCCCATATTAGTACATATGATTCACTTGATGACACATACTCCATTTATACTACACAAATTTTGCCTAAAACTGTCGCATCACGTGGCATGCAACCTGCTTACAACTTGAGTTGTACTGTGTAAATCAAGCACACAACCAACTTAGAACAACATAGGCGAATTGTGTGATTGATTGACACAGATAAATTCACATACTTCCGGGTGTATTCACATATCAAAATGAGAAGTTTGTTGCAAGTCAACGTTTTGGCGAACTACGAAAGTATTAACCAATCAACATTCACCAAATTTTAAAATTTAAAAGAAAATTTGTAGTGGAAAACAGCGTTTCCAATGAAGTCTGCATATAAAAAATCATACTGAACATCTGACCAAAAAGCATAAAACATATTCCAAACCAAAACTGCAAAATCTAGGTATGAAGATTTTTACCACAGTTTCAGGCCCAAATAAATGAAAGCCATACATGGCAGCAGATAACTGTATAGTGTGTACCCCTCAGCCATAACTGGAAAGTTTGGAAATTGCGCACCAGGGGCCAGTTGTATAAAAAGTGATTAAAGTTAATTATAGTTAGTGGAAACGTCACCCAATGGGAAGAGAATTGAAAATTAATCACTATTTAACTACAAAATAGTGATTAAAAAAGTGATTAAGAGTTTTATACAACCGACCCCTGAGATTTAAAAATTTCACAGTAAATATAGAGAAATTGCATCAAAATTTAGCGTCTGCATTTCTTTCCATATTGGCTGAACTTGTGCCAGAGCTGTGTTTGGTATAGAGTTGTGGCATTTAGTTTCTAAACTTTTCTAATTAGATTTCAGAATTATTTAAAGTTGGGGAAAAGTTCTTCAAGCTGTCATCAGAGGAGAAAGAAAAATTTGCCAGAGGTTTAACAACAGTTAATCATGGATATGTCGCAGCAGGGGTTGAGATGTAAGACGTCTGAGTCACAGAGTAAGTACATACAGGAGCTTCTCTTGATGTCGGCGTAAGGGTTTTTTTGAAAAATGTGCCATGTTCTTAGTACGTAAACTGCGCATCTGCAGGTACTGGCTAAGAACATGGCGGCCAAAAAACCCCACCTTTTTCATAGAGATAAGCCTCTGTATGTTACTCTGTGTCTGAGTATTATTGATTTGTACTACATGAAGTGCTGGGTAGCTTATTCAGGAGCAAACAGACTGTATTTTGTTTGCAAGATCTGTAGTTATCAGAGAGATGAGCAAGCAGAGGATGGGAAAAAAGAAGGCTGGCAAACAATACATTTGACAGGGGAATTTACTGGGGTGTTAACACTGCCCCCCTCTAGCCCTGGCCCTAGAGGGGGTGCTATTTTTTGTGATGTTCAAAGCAAAAAAATATTAGAGACAAAATGAGATACAGTAGTTTGAGTAAACATGATGATAAGCAAACTGTGAACAACAATTACAAATCAAGTATGTACGGTAGTCAAGCAAGTCTCTGCAGTAGTCAAGCAAGTTGATGGGCAGGCGGCACACATGACCGTGTCAACTCAGTACTACAGCTGGCAGAACACCCCCCCCCCACCCCCACCAGATCATGCTGAATCCATTCCTGACAGTTGATCATTGAAATAAACTTTTCTCTTCTTTAGGACAGACCCCAGCAAACCTACAGATTTTAAGGAAGCATTTAACGTAACAGAACCATTCAACAATGAGTTGCCCTGGCCTGATGGAGAGTGTTCAGATTTTAAACCGACTGTGAACAGCTTTTTCCGTACCTGTGGAAAATTGTCACTTGGAATTTTAGATTTGATTTCACTTGGACTCAAATTGGAGGTTAGGATATTGTTTGATTAGAATTGATGATTTTTGAATTCCAGTAAGTGAACAGCTGCCTGTCAAATGCTGAAGCTAACTGCAATCCTTGGTCAGAACGTCTTATGCTTAAGTAAAGTAGAAAATTTTTCTGAATACATTTTGAAATATTTATCGACGATATTTTATAAGAGTCGTACTCAAGACGTAAATTCATCAAATGATGCCATCAAAAACTTAAAATTTCCTGGTCTGTGGCCGAATTTTATTCATCAGCTGACAATCTTGTTGGCTTGATATATGAAAATGTTCCAGCAGTTGGGTTGGAGCAAATTAGCAGACACTCCATTTTGACAATATGAAACATAACTCAAAAAATTTTTTTAAAGTGAAGCCCGGCAAGTTTGGACCACACAGAGCTAACTGCAATTGTTTTTGTCTACCTGGAAGAAAAATACTAAATATACAGACATGAGGTACAGTTTGCATACTGCCCCTACTGTATAAGGATGGGGGATTTACAGAATCTTAGCCTCCGCAGACTGCACAGGTATTCTTCTGAGGGGTGGGGCGTTGCCTGCGGAAGAGGTTCTGCAGTTTAGTTTTCTCCTGTGTTGAAGGGTTTTTCTGGATACTCTCACCAAAAACTAACCCATCCACATATGTTGTGTTTTATAATCAGACAGATTATACAGTATCACCCAGGTTATGACCTAGTGAGCCTTTGACCCGAGCTCTGCTCTTTGCAATTCAATTTCAAGGAATGATGACAAGCGCCCCTTTATTTTTAATTAGGATAGAAAATTGCTGCGGCGAACACATAGGAAATTCGGTACTCTAGAGAGCAAGACAACGTTAAGACTTCTCTATTACCCAGTAATGACAGAGTTGAAGGAAGGACAAGTACGTTTGGGAGAACATGGTGATTACGGAACTATCACGCTTTTATTCCAAGACCAAACTGGAGGATTGGAGGTAATACTAAACTAACTTTATTTATACTGGATAGCTCTACCAGTTCTAAACTGTTCTTCCTAGAGATCCAGTAAGGATCATCTCTTATTGATCCAGTGTTACTACAGGAGGAAACCTAAACTAAACTAACTTTATTATTTTATACTGGATAGCTCTATCAGTTCTAAACTGTTCTCCCTAGAGGTCCAGTAAGGATCATCTCTTATTGATCCAGTGTTACGTACCACAGGAGGAAACCTAAACTAAACTAAATTTTATTTATATTGGATAGCTCTATCAGTTCTAAACTGTTCTCCATGAACTGTTCTCTAAACTGTCCAGAAGTAAGGGTTGTCCCTCTGGATTCAGCTCATCTTTCTGAAAAGCTCAACTTCAAATATTGTTTGAAAATACAGATACTTCAAAAAGAAGGATTCGTGCCAGCTCGTCCTATTGAGGGAACAATCCTGGTCAACATTGGAGATTTATTACAACGCTGGACGAATGATAAATTAGTATCAACGGTAAGTCACCCATTCCTGGGCATAACTTGTTAAATAATATTTTAATTTGCCTCTGTGAGAGTTTAAATTGTAGTAGTATCTTGCCTAAAACACCCCTTTCCTCCAACACAATGTTGTTGAATTACGTTCAAAATGTGGAAAAAATAATGGCAACATGAGAGTTGAGCAATATGAGAGTTGAGAAAACTTTCATGCAAACTCTCGCTTCTCAACTGTCATCATCTCCCTTTCATAATCTCTCATGCAAACTCTCGCTTCTCAACTCTCATGCAAATTCTCGCTTCTCAACTCTCATGCAAACTCTCGCTTCTCAACTCTCATGCAAACTTTCGCTTCTCAACTCTCATGCAAACTTTCGCTTCTCAACTCTCATGCAAACTTTCGCTTCTCAACTTTCATGCAAACTCTCGCTTCTCAACTCTCATCAACTGAACTCTCGTTTGAGCGAAGGTTTAGAAAGTGTTGTTTTTTGTTCAGATACATCGTGTTGTTGTCCCACATGAAGAGTTACGACGCTTAACTGCACGTCAATCAATGGCATTCTTTGTCCATCCCGATAATGACGTGATTATCGAGTGTCTGGATAACTCAGGACATTATCCACCCATAACATCCCTGGAATATCTCAACCAGAGACTTTTTGCGACATATCTGTAACAATTTGTTACTTAGCTAGGGACATCCACCCATACATCCCTGGAATATCTCAACCAGAGACTTTTTGCGACATATCTGTAACAATTTGTTACTTAGCTAGGGACATCCACCCATACATCCCTGGAATATCTCAACCAGAGACTTTTTGCGACATATCTGTAACAATTTGCAACTTAGCTACGGACATTATGGGATACGAAAATCACACAATTGATAAATTTAATTTTAGGTTGGTTAATTAATTAAGTCATATGTAAAATTCATAGTTGTTTGGTGGCATAGAATACGAAAGAAAATGTGAGAAAGTAAATTCTTATAGATTATATTTTAATGTAGAGTTTTAGATAGTTCTCCATAAATTTGTAACTTATTGTATTTCGAACTGTTATCTGTCACTTTCTTGAAATAAGTTTTCAATCAATCACGATCAAAGTTACTGCGGATTCAGGTAGACCGTTTAATGCGAATAGTTGTTGCGTTAGTTTTAACAGTTGTACGATGACGTTTCTAGGCAGATTTTCGACGTTTCTAAGGCGTGGCTTCAACGTTTATTTTTCAAATTTGAACGTTGTAATTACAAGGTAATTGCTAAATAGTATACTTCAAAATAAGGTTTCCGTTTTTATAACGTAGAAAAAATCATCCTAACGCAAAACTAAACCCTAACATAACCCTAACTTATTTAAAAAATTGATATAAAAACGGAAACCTTATTTTGAAGTATACTATCTGGCAATTACCTTGTAATTACAACGTTCAAATTTGAAAAATAAACGTTGAAGCCACGCCTTAGAAACGTCGAAAATCTGCCTAGAAACGTCATCGTACAACTGTTAAAACTAACGCGACAACTATTCGCATTAAACGGTCTACCTGAAACCGCAGTAGGGGATTGAGTAATTAGCTTTTCTAGGTGTTAAAAGTTACATGTATAAGTAGAAAAATTATATCCTTGTATATATAAATGCTTGCGCATTTTGCGCAATATATTCAATACTAATGATATCAACATGACGAGATAGATCAATACACCCTTTCAATAATTACGTCACACATACTTTTTGGTGTTGGAGCCTCGCTCTCATTAGTAAATTACATAAGGTGATTGGCTCGCGATTCATGAGAGCGAGGCTGCCAGGCCAAATGTCGTATTAAATTATTGAAAGAGTGTTTCCCGTGATAAATCTCTGTCCTTGCAATAATTTTAATTGCGATAGTTTGATGAAACAAATCCTGAAATGAGCAGACGTCTGATCGGAAGAACAATATTTGTCCAACTTCGTCTAGACGGATTATCGGTGGCCATAGGAACTGATGATCGTCCGCAGGGGGCCACTTTAATAAGATATAATTACTTCCTGTTTCCAATCTCCTTGAGAAACTTGACCGCGCAAGGGCGCAAGAAGAAAATATGGCGGGTCGTAAAATCTCGCAATCCAATCAAGAACTATGGCTGATGGCTAAGAACTGGCTTGCCAGTACAAACGTCTTGCCACAAGGACACAGATGCTATGATCCTAATCCTGCAATCTTCGATCTCGCTCATTCGCTTCGAGACGGCGTCGCCTTATGTCAAGTTGCGAACTGCCTCCGACCCTATTCTGTTCGTGATATCAACTTCAAGCCACAAATGTCACCGGTACGTTTTGATCTATAATCTTAACATCAAAGATCGCTTTATTTTATTACCTAGTAATGCCTTTTATATTACCTAAAATCTTCAAATCTATTGAAAACGTTTGCAAATTTTTTATATCTGCATAAAAAAAATCCCCACCGAATCAATGTTGTCATGATATATTGCATTTTAAATCGCATTATTTGAGTGAAGTCTTTCTGATAAATGTTTAGCTTTACAAGTATTTTAATGTTTCCTGTGTATTTCAATGTGGCGTAGTTTTATCTTGATGTTTGTGTAAAAGTTTCATTGCAATTTTGTCGAATAACAATATTCTATTAAAACAGGAAGTATAAATGGCGAATTATAATTATTTTAATTTCTTCCTAATTTAGTTCTTGTGTCTAAAGAATATACGAGGATTTCTCCACGCCTGTGTGAATAACTTTGGTCTTAAAGAAAGCGTGTTGTTTGATGCCCATGAATTATATGATGTCTCTGATTTTGCCAAGGTAGATGATTCAATGATTTGTCAACTTTATGCATATTGAAGTTGCCATGCAAAATGTCAAATTCACCACCCACCATGTCTGGAAAATGTCTACCTGTGGCATACCTAATAAATATTCATTTCGCCATGGTGAAAATGACACAGAATAATAGTTTTGACCCACCTATACCCACCCAGAACTTCAATTTGACATTTTGCCTGACCGTAAATAAATTGTTTGGAATTTTACAATAAATTCTGATAAAATGTTGTTTTGTACTAACGTCTAACAAACCTGGTTGAAGTATTTGCATTTAATTAAAGATGTTATTTGTTAGTGCATGTGTGTTTCACAACTGTGACCAAAGCTTGATACCCTGATTATAATTTCACCTCAGTCACATGTGAGAAGAATGCTTCCAGTTAGACTCTACCAAACATTGCAAGTTTTCCCAGAATACTCTAGTTGGTACAGAAATCTGTTCAAAACTAATAATAAAAGCTAGTTGTTTGATTGGCCAATATTTATATTGGGTCGTTCCAGAAAAAATCCATACTCCCCCCATGGAGGAAATTTCTGCCGTCAGGAGGGGGAGGGGAGAAAAAATTGTTTCTGATAATAGTAAACGTATTAGGACATCCGAAGGGGGTAGGGGGGTTAACTTCCTATTTCTTCCGTGGGGGTGGTATGGATGTTTTCTGGAATGACCCATTGCAATTAAAGTAAAGTATAAAATTAATGTTTTTTTGTTAGGTGGTGGTGACATTAAGTCAATTATCAAAATGCAAAGATGCTTTAAATGCAGGATTAATGTAAGTTTATAAATTACAATATGTATTTAACCCATTGAGTGTCAATGATCTTCCCTTCATCAGTGAATTTGTCTGTTGTTAACCCATTAAGCTGCAGAGCTTCCCCATTAGACAAGTAAATAAAATAAGTAGGGTGCATTGCAGCTCAATGGGTTAACTAGAGACATTGTCAGTTTTTTGCTCTTCTCTTGATGCATATATCATTTCTTTCAGTCCATTTCCAAGCGACAGAGCAGCCAGTCTAAGTACTCAGTACAAAGATGAGGATATTTATGGAAATCTTGAAGAAATTGCATTGTAAGTAAATAATGGACGTAAATTATTACAGTCCTTGAAACTCCCGAAATTTCAGGTCTGCAAGAAATTGCCGACCTAAAAGCGATAATTCTCTATCTAGGTCGGCAAATATTTTCAAAACAAATAGACAATAATCAATGTCCAAATGGAAATTTAATTTGCTTGCTGCAAATACACATATTTATAAACAGCAATTAATTGCAATCAATACCAAACAACTAACAAAATGTATGAACTCCAATCGAACAGTGCATGCATGTTGTGACCAAATGTTGTGACAGACCGTACACTACTTTATTACCATATATTTAATTACTTTATTACCATAATTTATTACCACATATATTACCATAAAAAAATACCTGTGGTTCCGGTTCCCGACCAACCCTACTTTTTTTCTGCCGACCCTATTATTTTTTCAATGTGATTGACTGTGCAACCCTATTTTATCCAGGTGGTTGCGGGCCGCTCATATAGCGTGCCAAAATGGCGTTTGTTGCCACACTAATTATTGAACCAAATTGCCTAAATTCGTCCATGGGAAATAGGCATCTCTAGTTAATATTGATGTCGGGATTCTACTGCAAATCGCCCAACAAAAAATCGCCAAAACCATGAAAAAAATATTCAAAAAAAAATTTATTTCCGACCTACCGACCCTAATTTTTTCACAATATGAAACCGGAACCACAGGTATTTTTTTTTACGCCTTACTGAATCTTGATGCTCAACGATTTTAACACGTAAGTTTACTTTTCAAAAGATGTGTTCGCAGAAAAAATGCTGAGACATATTTGAAAGTAGGTCGGCAAAATTTTGCCAACCTAAATCTACACATATAGCTACACAATGCAGGTCGACATATAGCTACACAATGCAGGTCGGCATTTAGGTCGGCATTGCCGAATGCCGACCTGACTTTCAAGGACTGTTATTAGCAGCATAAATTGTACTTGACAAAACACAGAGGTGTAACTTAACACTTGCCTGGTGCAAGTGAATATTGTGATGGGCAAGTAAACGTTTTATCTTGCTTCCCCGATTGGGCAAGTGGCTTTGCCACAAAAAGCTGGGCATCTTTTAATAAGTTTATGTTTTCATTTCAGATATAAACTTTTTTATTGATTCAAATTTTGTTTTTTGTGGGCCAAAGCTACTGTAGATCTGAGACAGTATAACATAGCCATATAGAGCAGTGGGAGAATGGGTTGACATGTTGTCCACTTAATTTATACCTGATGGCAAGTGAATTTTATTCAGGACAACTAATTTTCATGTCCAACAAGTGGTCAAAAAAATAAAGTTACACCACTGAGTTTGTGTGTTATATTATTTAGGACAAAAGATGTAGCAGAGGAAAACGTCTATGATGCAGTCACCATTGAGGACGATACCAAAATCTATGATGATGTTGTTGCATTGAAGAAACGTATTGGGTTGTATAAGGTATGACAAACATGGCCTGTTGACAAACAGACCAACTCATTAATTTCAGACAGACAGACAGACAGACAGACAGACAGACAGACAGACAAACATTACAGACAAACATTGCAGACATGTAAATGATAGCCAAGCAGGAAAGCAGACAGATTTGCACCAGGCAGACAGACAGACATACTTTATGCAGACAGACAGATAGACATATGTACACCAGACAGTGCCTAGAAATCGTTACAAGACTTGTGTGCAGACATACAATTCAGTTTCTAGAAATGATAAAATATCTAGATGATAAAATATGCTGTGTGTTTAGTCGCAAAATGCACATACTTCAAAGGCTGACGAAAAAAGAGGGTATGTCATTGATGAACTGTTGGGGACTGAAGAAAATTATGTTGAAGCTTTAACCACAATCAAAGAGGTAACTCATTGTAGGAAATGATCATGAAATATTCCTCCTTATCCAAATTCTAACCCAAAACTCTTTTTCAGAAATTTATTGATCAACTACAGGATGTTTTAGCTGCAGAGGATATCAAGAAAATTTTTGTGAATATCGTAGTAAGTATTTGACATTGACCCTTTAAGTGGCAATGGGTCATTTCAGAAAGGATCCATACTCCCCCACGGAGGAAATTTCTGCCGTCCGGAGGGGGAGGGGAGAAAAAATTGTTTCTGATAATAGTAAATGTATTAGGACATCCGAATTAGTATAATTACATAGGTGATTATTGAAAATTCTCCACGCTGATTGGTTACCGTTGAGGTGATTATTACGCGATAATCACCTAAGTGATTTTCAAAATGGCAGCCGAAGCCATTTTGTCAATTAAAAGACGAAGAAATGTGCATTTTTAAATTTTTTCCAAAAAATCACCAATGAAATTATACTAAAACAATTATTCACCTCAGGCTCAGTGATTATCGTGAATAAAAACCTTGACTTCGTCTCGGTTTTTATTCACCGATAATCACCTCGCCTTCGGCGAATAATTGTTAAATATTACATGATGGCATCTCAATCATCGACCTGTACCAGAAACGTCCTGTTGTGCCTTTCATATAACCAGAACCTGACAGAAAGACATGAAATTTTGTTATTTAGGACCTTCTCGTGATGCATAAACAGTTTCTCAGTAAACTTAGAGTTGCATGTCGACATAAGACAGATGTTGGCAGTTCAATCAGTAATTGCTTTATTCATGATGTAAGTATATTGTGGAGATGTAAAGCCCTGGGCAAACTAGGAAACATTGTTGCGGAAACATTGTTTCCTGCCAATGTTTTGCCATGTTTCCCAAGGTGGGCAAACACTAGGAAACAATGTTTCCGCAACAAAAATCGCACTTGGGAAATGTTTCTGAATTTGATAGGAAACATTTCTGCTTCTCGGGAAGCAAATTGTGTTTCTGCAACGATGTTTCCACGGGTGGGCAAACACAGAAACACTTGGGGAAACATGGCGAATCACAATGTTTCCGCAACAATGTTTCCTAGTTTGACCAAGGCTTAAGTAGTCATCGTTGGCGCAGTTGTCAGTGAGAGCAAGTGCCTTTTACCTCTGAGTTTGTGGGTTTGATTCTTGCTATGGACTCATGTGACAGGAGTCAGTCAATGCTTTGTCAAAAGCTGTGGGTTTCCTCCCACAGGGAAAGTTGACAGGATGGGTTAGGATAAACATAGTAAGGAAAGTTATATCACAATTGTTGTAAACTTTAAGGTAAAATAATCTAGGCTAAGTATGTAATTAAAGCATG